CAGGATGGTCTCGATCTCCTGACCTCGTGATCCGCCCGTCTCGGCCTCCCAAAGTGCTGGGATTACAGGCTTGAGCCACCGCGCCCGGCCTGGAGTTATTTTAAACTTAGTATTCTACAGCTTGATTTTTTACTGAGCAGTTTCATGGATCTCTTGTGTCAATACCCACAGTTCTGCTTACTCTTTTTATTAACTATAGAGTATTACATTTAGCCATTCATGTATTGTGGGACATTCTTTGATGTATGTAATTTTCACTATTAAAAATATAACAGTGATACCTATGCTTATGCTGCTATGTACTTCTGTATTTCTGTGGAATGGGTTTCTTAGAATAGGATAGAGTTGAAAAAAATCTTAAATAAAGATAAAACTCTGAAATGGAGACATGGCACAGGACTTTTTTTATTTACTTATTTTTTATTGAGGTGAATTTTTTTTTTCTTTTTTTTTTTTTGAGACAGAGTCTTGCTCTGGTCACCCAGGCTGCACGCAATCTCTGCTCACTGCAACCTTCACCTCCCGGGTTCAAGCAATTCTCCTGCCTCAGCCTCCCGAGTAGTTGGAACTACAGGTGTGTGCCAACACGCCTGACCCATTGTTTTTGGATTTTCAGTAGAGATGGGGTTTCATCATGTTGGCCAGGCTGGTCTCGAACTCCTGACCTCAAGTGATCCACCCAGCTTATTGAGGTGAATTTGACATAACTTAAATTTAACTATTTTAAGGTGTTCAGTTCATTGGCATTTGGTACCTTCACAGTGTGGGTACCCATCATCTCTATCAAGTTCCAGAACATGCTGATTACCCCAGAAGAAAACCTTGTACTATTAAGCCACCGCGCCCAGCTAATGGTTTTTGTATTTCTAGCAGAGATGTGATTTCACCACGTTAGCCAGGCTGCTCCTGCACTTCTGACCTCAGGTGGTTCACCCGCCTCAGCCTCCCAAAGTGTTGGGATTACAGGCATGAGCACTGTGCCCTGCCCATGTTTAACTTTTTTGTTTGTTTGTTTTGAGACGAGTCTCGCTCTGTCACCAGGCTGGAGTGCAGTGGCGCAATCTTGGCTCACTGTACCCTCCGCCTCCAGGGTTCAAGCGATTCTCCTGCCTCAGCTTCCTGAGTATCTGGGACTACAGGCGCCCGCCACCACGCCTGGCTGATTTTTGTATTTTAGTAGAGACAGGGTTTCACTGTGTTGGCCAGCATGTCTCCATCTCTTGACCTGGTGATCCGCCCACCTCAGCCTCCCAAAGTGCTGGGGTTACAGGCGTGAGCCACTGCACCCAGCCCGTGTTTAACTTTTTGAGGAGCGAATATACTGTTTTCTGCAGAAGCTGGACCATTTTACATTCCACCAACAGTGTGCAAGGGTCTCCTCTTATCCATATCCCAACACTTACTTTCCATTTTTTAATTACAGCTATCCCTGTGGGTGGGAACTGGTAACCCGTTGTAGCACTGATTGGTGTTTTCCTAATGATTCAGATATCAAACATCTTTCCATGTACTTTTTGGCCATTTGTGTATCTTTGGAGATTGAAGTCCTTTGCCATTGTTTAATTGTGTTGTCTTTTTTATTGTTAAGAGTCCTTTATATATTCTGGAAGCTAGATCGTTACCAGACACATAGTTTGCAAGTATTTTCTGCCATTCTGTAGGTTGTCTTTTTTACTTTCTTGATGGTATCTCTTGATGCCTGAAAGTATTGATTTTTGATGAAATTCAGTTTACCTATTTTTTTCTCACTCTTTTGGAATATCTGAGAAATGGTATCATTTTACCCCTATGTTTTCTTGTAAGAGTTTTATAGTTTAAAGCTTTTACATTGAGTTCTTTGATCCATTTTGAGTTAATTTGTGTGTGCTGTGAGGTAGGGATCCAGCTTCGTTTTCTTGTCTGTGGATATGTAATTGTTCCAGCACCGTTTGTTAAACAGAAACTGTGGTCTTGGCATTCTTGTTGAAAGTCAGTTGGCCTAGGTGTATGGTTATTTCTGGATTCTCAGTTCTATTCCATTGTTATATGTATATCCTTGTGCCTGCACTGTCATGTTTTGGTCACTATAGCTTTGTAGTAAGTTTTGAACTTAGGAAGTGTGAGTCCAGCACATATAGAAACTTAATATATGCGTATTATTCTTTTTATCAACTCATTCATTCATTGAATGACCAATTTATTCCACAGATAGTTTGGTCTGCTCAGTGCCAGGCCCTTTGCTGGGTTCTGTGGATGTGAAAACAAATTAAGGTGGAGTCATCCAACAGTTACAGTTGGGTGCCATACCAGTTTTACTGCAGATATGTACTGGATGCTATGCTGACTCAGCTGTAGGAACAGAGCAGGCTGGGAAGCACCTTGGAGATGAGGCTGTCTGGGTGTAAGAGTCTGTTTCTGGCAGCAGAGACCTGGAGTATGGGAGGCCTGCTTGCCCTGTTAGGATTTGAACTGTATCCTGACAATCATGGGAGGCATTGAAGGATATTTAGGCAGGAAAATGATGTGAAGGGATTTGCATTTAAAAGAGATTATGAGGGGCTGGGCACAGTGGCTCACACCTGTAATGCCAGCACTTTGGGAGGCCTAGACAGGCGGGTCACCTGAGGTGGAGAGTTTGAGAGCAGCCTGGCCAAAATGGTAAAATCCCATCTCTACTAAAAATACAAAAATCAGCTGGGTGTGGTGGTGCACCTGTAATCCCAGGTACTCAGGAGGCTGAGGCAGGATAATCGTTTGAACCCGGGAGGGGGAGATTTCTGTGAGCTGAGATTGCACCACTGCACTCCAGCCTGGGTAACAGAGTGAGACTCCATCTCAAAACAAAATAAATAAATAAATAAGAGAATAAAATAGATAATTTGGGCAACAAGTTGTTGTTAATTCCCCGCCTTTGTTCTCCTCCAGTACTGTGTTGGCTGTTCTGAATCTTTTGCCTTTTCATGTAAATTTCCGAAACTGTTGCTATCTGTTCTCTGCCTGTTTTATTTTTGTTGTTGTTGTTTGGGTTTTTTTTTTTTTTGAGACAGAGTCTTGCTCTGTCGCCCAGGCTGGAGTGCAGCAGTATGATCTTGGCTCACTGCAACCTCCGCCTCCCAGGTTCTAGCGATTCTCTTGCCTCAGCCTCCTGAGTAGCTGGGATTACAGGCGCGTGCTGCCACGCCCAGCTAATTTTTGTATTTTTAGTAGAGATGGGGTTTCATCTCTACTATGGGGTCAGGCTGGTCTCGAACTCCTGACCTCGTGATCCGCCCACCTCAACCTCCCAAAGTGCTGGGATTACAGGCATGAGCCACTGTGTCCGGCCTCTCTGCCTGTTTTTTAAGACTTTTGTCTTTGGAGTTTTGCAGTTTCTCCATGCTGGTTTTCCATATGAATTTCCTTTGATTTCTTCTGCGTAAAATTTGTGGGCCAGGTGGGCGCAGAGGCTCACGCCTGTAATCCCAGCACTTTGGGAGACCGGGTGGGTGGATCGCCTGAGGTCAGGAGTTCGAGACCAGCCTGACCCCATAGTAGAGAGAGACTCCATCTCAAAAAAAAAAAAAAAAATTGTAGACCTTCCTTGAGAAAAATAAAATAAAATTCTAGGCCAGGCGCGGTGGCTCATGCCTATAATCCCAGCACTTTGGGAAGCTGAGGCGGATGGATCACCTGAGTTAGGAGTTCGAGACCAGCCTGGCCAACATGGTGAAACCCCGTCTCTACTAAAAATACAAAAATGAGCCACGTGTGGTGGCACCCATCTGTGATCCCAGCTACTCGGGAAGCTGAGGCAAAAGAATTGCTGGAACCCAGGAGGCAGAGGTTGCAGTGAGCCGAGATTATGCTACTGCACTCCAGCCTGGGTGACAGAGTAAGATGCCATCTCAAAAAAATAAAATATAAAATAAAATTCTAAGCCCTGCAACCAACTGAATGGACCCCTCCCCTTGGTCAAGGGAACCCCAGAGAAACCTTGGAAGTCAGTTCCTGGCCATAGCAGGAGGGGAGGTCAGATGCGCCTCATTATACCCCTCCCTCCCCAACCACCATTAGGCTTTCTTCACTAAGGGCTAAACAGAAACCAACCCTTTTCAAAGACTCCATACTGCTAATGTGGATTACTGGCTTATCTTCCCAGATACAGATCAAAGACAAGATGAGATGAATGGTTCCTTCACCCTTCCCTGAGAGGTCTGCTTAGTTCTCTTCTTGTTTCCTTCTATCACTTCCTGAAGTCTCACAAGTACTTAACCATTCACCTCACAGCCACCCTCCCCCTTTGAAGGACCACGTATAATTACTAAACCTCCTGAGAACCTCTTGGGACAAAAACAACCACAGATGTGCTTGTGACTCATGTTTTTCCTGTGGGCACCCTCATGCTGGCTCAGCAGCCCTCGCTTGCTTGAGATCCTGAATCTGTGGGTTGGTGTCTTTCATGGTTGCTGGATAATACTCGGCCGTTATCTTGGGATATGCATTGCCCCTGGCCTGCTATCTGGCCCCTCTCTTTAGGGACCTCTGATTGAACCTACGTTAGGCCTTCTCTCTCCTGCTGTTCCTGATCACTCTTCTGTGCTGTCATTCTCCTCCTTGTGCTGCGTTCTGGGTGATTTCTCTGGTCTTTCTTCCGGTTTGCTAATATTGTGTTTTCTGTTATAAAGTCCTTCCATTGAGTGTTTGCTGCTTTCTTTTTTCCCAAAACCAACTCGAAACAGACGTTGAGCTTTAATTTTTTATTTCTGTACTTTTTATTTCTAGAAGTTCTGTTTGGTTATTTTTCACGTCTGCTACGTTATTTTTTAATAGTTTTGTATCTTTGATAGTTTTTTTTTCTTTTTTTTTTTGAGATGGAGTCTCACTCTGTTGCCCAGGCTGGAGTGCAGTGGCGCAATCTCAGCTTACTGCAACCTCTGCCTCCCTGGTTCCAGCAATTCCCCTGCCACAGCCTCCCAAGTAGCTGGGATTACAGGTGCGCACCACCACGCCTGGCTAATTGTTTGTGTTTTAGTAGAGACAGGATTTCACCATGTTGGCCAAGACAGTCTGATCTCCTGACCTCATAATCCGCCCACCTCGGCCTCCCAAAGTGCTGGGATTACAGGCCTGAGCCACTGCGCCCGGCCTTTAATAGATATTTCAAGTGCATCTTTTTTTTGCTTCCTTAATTTTTTTTTTTTACTATACCCCATGCCTCCAAGATAACAGTTTTTTCTTTTTAATTTAGATATAATACAGTTTTACTGTGTATCCAAGATTATCTGAAATCTTTTGTGGGTCTCTTTCTTTTGTCTTTTGTTTCTGTTGCTTCTTGCTGGATTGAGCCTGCTTAAAACAAGCCCCGTTAGCGGTAAAGGTTTCCCTTAGAAAGTCAGGTGTCTTCCTCTGTAACTCTCTCCCTTTTCCATCTGCTCCAAGGCATTACTTTATATTAGTCTTGACTCAGTGAAGTTGTGTCCACTTCACCTTGGCCAGTAGGGAAGCAGTGTTTGGCAGATGTTACTCCTAATAATGCCAGCCAGTGAGTGAAGCCGACCTAAAAGCCTCCCCGGGCTGAGGCAATGGCATGATCACTGAAGCTCAAACCAGAGACAGTTTCACCTTGTGACTGAATGATGTTCGGTGTAGGCCAAATGCCTGCAGACTACTGTTGGGGGACCGGTGTGGTCTACCAGGTGTTTTCTTAGCACCAGAATGTCTCTGGTCACCATCCCAGGTGTAGAGCACGGTGTTAGATACGCTAGATGCCTGCCGAAGTAATAATGGGTGAAACGTATGATGTCCAAGATTTGCTTTTAAATGCTCCAACACCTCCTCCCAGATTCTGGAGGGCTATGACACAATCAGCTGTGAAAACTGGTAATTCCTAAAGCTGGGTACATGGGGGTTCGTGATACCTCTCCCACCTTTTTTGGGGGAGAATGTTTGACACTTTAATAAGAACTTGTTGCCTTTTCCTTTTACAGGGTGTTGCAGGCATCTTCCTCAGGCCTGTTTTCTCTGTTTTCCAGGCTGACGTGATGGCAGACAGGGTTCCCCGCTGCCCGGTCTGCACCGGCGTTGTGAAGCCCGACATTGTGTTCTTTGGGGAGCCGCTGCCCCAGAGGTTCCTGCTGCACGTGGTTGATTTCCCCATGGCAGATCTGCTGCTCATCCTCGGGACCTCCCTGGAGGTTTGTCAGCCTGTGCAGGGAGGAGGCTGGAGGGCAGGGGAAGGGAGGGGTACAGAAATCATCTCATGGGCCCTTCCAGGGCTGGTGCCACTTTCGGAAAGTGAGTGGATTCAGCTGGGGTTCCAGGCTGAGGGAACAGCAGCCTGTGCGGGAGACAGGAAGGTAGGAAGCTGCTGGGCTTTGGAGGTGGTATAGGTGCGGATGGGGCACCACATGTGAGGAGAAGGGAGGAGGAAAGGGGGCGTCGGGATGAGGTGGAGGGGCAGGCCTCCCAGGTCAGATTAGGAATACTGATGCTGCGTTGGGAGTAGTGATAAATCCAAAGGGACTGGCCCAGGGACGTAGCTGCACCCTTGGGGTCAGAGAGGCCTTTGGGGAGTGGAGAGTGGAGCAAGCAGTGCCAGGAGGCTGGTCCTGAAGAAGGTGGAGCTGTGGTCACCTGAGGGACAGCGAGGAGGGGGACTGGACTTGCAGCCTGTGTTGTTTTGGGGGTGTGAGAAGGAGGCGTCTGGCTTGTTCTGTAAAGTCAGGGCATTTGCTGGTGAGGTGTGATTTGGGAGGGAGGATGCCCAGCTCGGATGCCCAGGTCTCAGGTGCCTGGGAAACGCCCCCTGGATGTGGCCAAGCAGCTGTTCTGCGTCTGCGTCTGAAGCTCAAGAAATTCCTAAAAGCTGTGATGAGTCACGCAGTGTGTGTGTGACTGGATATAGGCACCAAGGGCAGAAGGGCCAGAAAGACCTGTGCTCCGAGGGGCCCAGGGCAGCCGCAGGGCCCAGAGCGTATGTTTGTTCGGGCCTTCATTGTGTGCTGGGCCCTGCTCCAGTGCTTTCAACATCCACAGTCAGATGTCAGTGTAAGAAGTTATGTAGTTTGTGAGGAGATGATTGATGTTCTGGGAAAGATAACAAGTAGGAAAGAAGGGCTAGGAGGGTTGGGAACCAGCTGCAGTGTCAAGCCAGGCAGGTGGAGTTGGAGCTAAGAGTTTACCAAGGTGAGGGGGGTCTGGCAGGGGACACTGCACAGCTGACAAACAGCAAGGAGGGTGGGGCGACGTCAGCAGTGACGGGCACGGGCTGGAGCAGAGAAGGAGGTGGGGCACAAGTGTCATCTCATGGGAGGCTGGCGCTGCCTCAGAAGATGAATGGATTCAGCTTGGGTTCCAGGCCAGAGCTTGGAAGTTAAGAGGACTCCTTTGGGTGCTGGGCTGTGAGCCCACCACGGGGGCAAGACTAGGAGCAGCAGACCCAGCAGGGCCCTTGTAGGTAATCACCGGCTGGCACTGGCTGGGGGCCGGGTAAAGCCAGCAGAGGCTGAGGGGTGCTGGAGTCTGGGTGTGTGTGAACGCAGAGTGGGCGTGCCGGCGCGGTGCATGGGAGGGCGTGGGTTCCCAAGGACTCCAGGACTGTGGCTGGAGCAGCTAGAAAGATGGAGCTGCCATTTCCTGAGATGGAGAAGCCCTGGTAGGTGGGTTTGGGGGAGCTCAGGAACTCAGCCTTGTTTCCACGGATTTGAGGATGTACTGCGGACTGGAGGTGTTGAGCAGGTGGATATGAGTCTGGAGTCCAAGAAGGCCCAGAGGCAGGAGCTGGGGTGCTGGAGTGAGCAGACAGGAGAGCCCAGGGTGTGGACAGACATGAGAATGCCATGCTAGGCCTAGGATGGAGGGACAGACACAGCAGGAGCAGTCAGAGGGGCCATGGTGGTCAGCAGAGTGCGGGCTGAGAGCAGCTGACCATGCTGGCCACCAGGTGTGGACACTCGGACCACCAGCCGTCTTCATTATTGAAGTGAAATGAAAATGGCCTTTTTCCTTATTATAAGTACCATGTGTGTCTTTGAAAAGATTCATACAGGGCCGGGCACAGGGGCTCACGCCTGTAATCCCAGCACTTTGGGAGGCCGAGGCGGGCGGATCACGAGGTCAGGAGATCCTGTCTCTTATACACATCTAGATGTGTATAAGAGACAGAGACTATCCTGGCTAACATGGTGAAACTCCGTCTCTACTAAAAAAAAAAAAAGATACAAAACATTAGCCGGGCGTGGTAGTGGGCGCCTGTAGTCCCAGCTACTTGGGAGGCTGTGGCAGGAGAATGGCGTGGACCAGGGAGGTGGAGCTTGCAGTGAGCTGAGATCGTGCCACTGCACTCCAGCCTGGGTGACAGAGAGAGACTCCGTCTCAAAAAAAAAAAAAAAAAAAAAAGAAAGAAAATATTCATACATTATATAAAGATATAAAGCAAAGAATCAACTTTTTAATCCCACTAACTGTTAGCATTTTATTCTGTGTCCTCTCAGGTTTCTTTTTCTGTACAAATGCACACGTACAGATGGTAATTTTTAACTAAAAGTTGGACAGCACTGTACATTCTATTCTGCAGCCTGCTGTTTTCATGTAACAATGTGAGTCCATGGAGATCTGCTGCCTTGTGAATGCTGACAGTTTCCCTTATACGGACATGAGGTCCCACCTGAGAGGCCCATGTCTGTAAACACGGTGCCATCGTGAACTGAACGAGCTGGTGTCACGGATGGACTCTGTCTCATGTGCTTTGTGGACGAAATATTAATGTGTTTGACTATGGAGTACCACTCCGGATCCCCTTTAGGTGTGACATAGTATGTGGGGTGTAAACCATATGATCTTTTTTAAAATCTCAAAAATTCTGAAACATATTCAGCCACAAGAGCTTTAACATAGATTTTGTGGATTTAATACAAAGTTTATGTAAGCAATTTCTTACTGATGGACAATGACAATAAATTGTATATAATTTTTGTATTAAAAGTAATGCTGGGCCAGGCACTGTGGCTCACACCTGTTATCCCAGCACTCTGGGAGGCCAAGGCAGTAAGATTGCCTGAAGCTAGGCATTTGAGACCAGCCTGGGCAGTATAGTCAGACCTCGTCTCTACAAAAAATAAAAAGATAGCCAGGTGCGGTCTGTGTAGTTGCAGCTATTTGAGAGGCTGAGGCAGGAGGATTGCTTGAGCCCAGGAGTTTGAGGTTATAGTGAACTATGATCATGCCACTGCATTCCAGCCTGGGCAACAGAATGAGATCCCACGCTGTAGTGAATATCCCTGTGTGTCATCCTGATCTACCCATGCAAGTACTCCTGAAGGGTAAGTGCTGATAAATATTGAGAACTTGCCTTCCAGAAAGATGTAACAATTACATTGCCACAAACTGTGTTTTTGTGTAGCCATTTTCTCACATCCTCACCAAAACCAAAATCACACAAATCAAATTGGTTAAAAAATGCATGTGTGTGTGTGGAGGGGGGTGTGGATTTTGCATTTCTGTAGTAAAGAATGAAATTCATCTTTTCATGTTTATTGGCCAGTTGTGTTTCCTCTCTTTGGATTGTATATTTATATCTCTTGTCCATTTTTCATTGGGTCATTGTAAATTAGCAATATAAATTAGTTTTAATTTTAATAGAAATTAAATAATATAATATAAATCAATTTTAAGGTTAATATAAATTTCTTTTTTTTTTTGTTTTGAGACAGAGTTACGCTCTGTCTCCCAGGCTGGAGTGCAGTGGCACGATCTCGGCTCACTGCAACCTCCACCTCGCAGGCTCAAGCCATTCTCCTGCCTCAGCCTCCCGAGTAGCTGGGACTACAGGTGCCTGCCACCACGCCCAGCTAATTTTTGTGTTTTTAGTAGAGACGGGGTTTCACCATGTTGGCCAGGCTGGTCTTGAACTCCTGACGTCAGGTGATCCACCTGCCTTGTCCTCCCAAAGTGCTGGGATTATAGGCATGAACCACCGTGCCCGGCTATTAATAGAAATTTCATTATAAATTAGCATTATAAATTAGTTCATACATTATATGTTTATAAATGAGTTTATCAATTAGCAATATAAACTATTGTCATATGTTGTAAATATTTTTGCAGTTTTTGATGAGAGGTTTTTAAAAATTTTTAATTTTCTACATAGTAGTTTTATGTAGATACTGATGTAATAGTATTTACATAGTCAGATCTGTCATTTTCCTTTGCCTTATCTGACTTCAGTTTTCACATCTAAAATGTTTTTCCCTATCCTTACTTGTAAACTCTCAGTTTTCTTCAAGAACTGTTTTGTTTACATTGAAACCTTTAATCCATTTGAATTTTTTTTCAATGGGAGGTAGGAATGGAGCATTTTCCTCCCAGATAATGAGCCAGTTTTAATGCCATTTATTAGTGTGTCAATTTTTTACCTTGTTCCTCTTAAAAGACGCTTTGAGAGCTGTATGAAGAAGCCTGATGGCACCGAGCTAGGCCTCTCTAGAGGTTGGGTGGTGAAGACCATGGAGAGACGTAACAGTAACTCCTGCTTGGGGGCACCAGCTTCTCTGGGTGCCCGATGCTGGTGGTGGCTGTCACTGCAAGCAGGGCTAGCCAGAGGAGACGGACGAGTCTGTGCTGTCGTCCCTCTGTGGCATGCTGGGAGACAGCGAGCTGGGGAGGACGGGGAGAACAGAACGTGCTCACACAGAGGAGGTAGGAAGGTTGGATCCCTGATGAGCCTTGGAACAGAGGTGGGGAGAAGCAAGGATGTGTGGAAGCAGCAAGGAGTGGAAGAGAGGGAGGCTGAGGGGAGGAAAGAGAGTCACTGAGGCCAAGCGGCAGGAGCTTAACTGAAGAAATGAGATTGGTGGTGGGTTTTCTGTATATCGCCGGGTCTGACTGCCAGTCTGCTGCTCCTCCAAGGCCTCAGTGGCTGTGGCACGAAACATCCTGCGGGGCTTGTAGGGTGGACACTGTACCCTCACATTTGGGCCATTTTTCAGGTGGAGCCTTTTGCCAGCTTGACCGAGGCCGTGCGGAGCTCTGTTCCCCGACTGCTCATCAACCGGGACTTGGTGGGACCCTTGGCGTGGCGTCCTCGCGGCAGGGACGTGGCCCAGCTGGGGGATGTGGTTCACAGCGTGGAAAGGCTAGTGGAGCTTCTGGGCTGGACAGAAGAGATGCGGGACCTCGTCCGGCGGGAAACTGGGAAGGTACAGACGCTGAGGAGGACCATCCAAGGGGCTGCCCTCCTCACTGCTCTAGGGTGTGGTCCATCTGGTATGGAGCCCCACTGGCTAACACGGTAACAGTCGTAACCGATGATGCTGTGAATCCTGCACCAGGCGCTACCTGGACCTGATTGGGTATTACTTTCAATACCTCCATTTAGAGATGAAGAAACAGATGGTAACAGGCCAAGCAGGGACACGGTCCAGACACTCAGGGCTGATGAGTCTGTACTCTTAACAGACTGTAGGCGTTATCTTCACTCCCTAAAGTAAAGCAGCCAACAGTGTTCCTCTAAGGCCTGGTATGTGATTCTGAGATGATACGGGTTAAAGAACTTTGAGAAGCTAAAGTTCTCTGCATCTGTGTGGGATGAAGGCTCCATTAGTGATGCTTTTCGGAAGTAATTGGTATGAGAGCCATTGATCGATTATAATCCGCTGAGGAAAGCCAAAGGGGCTCGATGCTTTCTTTCTAAGAGATTCCAAACCGCCTGTAAATAAGTGAAGTTACAGAAAATGCAGTTTCCCATGAGAATCATGTAGCATGTGTAGCCTTGATATTAAGGGTTTTCAGTGGGAGGTAGCATTAAGCATTTAAAGTCCAGCGTTGCCGGGCGTGGTGGCTCACGCCTGTAATCCCAGCACTTTGGGAGGCCGAGGCGGGTGGATCACGAGGTCAGGAGATCGAGACCATCCTGGCTAACATGGTGAAACCCCCGTCTCTACTAAAAATACAAAAAAAAAAATTAGCCAGGCGTGGTGGTGCGCGCCTGTAGTCCCAGCTACTCGGAGGCTGAGGCAGGAGAATGGCGTGAACCCAGGAGGCAGAGCTTGCAGTGAGCCAAGATGGTGCCACTGCACTCCAGCCTGGGCGACAAAGTGAGACTCCGTCTCAAAAAAAAAAAAAAAGTCCAGCGTTATGATTACAGGCAGATGTGACACTGTCCAAAGGGGATTTCACCAGTGTATTAGTGTGTTCTCATGCTGCTAACAAAGGCATACCTGAGACTGGGTCATTTATAAAGGAAAGAGGTTTAATGGACTCACAGTTCCATATGGCTGTGGGGGCCTCACAATCACAGTGGAAGACAAGGAGGAGCAAAGTCCCGTCTTCCACGGCGGCGGGCAAGAGGACGTGTGCAGGGGAACTGCCCTTTCGAAAACGGTCAGATCTTGTGAGACGTACTCACTACCACAAGAACAGCATGGAAAAGCCCCGCCCCCATGATTCAGTGACTTCCACTTGGCCCATCCTGGACACGGGGGGATTATTACAATTCAAGGTGAGATTTGGGTGGGGACACAGCCAAACTGTATCCACCAGAATGTATCACAATTGATGCTCCTCTTGTCTTCCAAGGCAGGTGTCTTAGGAAATCCTGATCCTTTTTCCTCGTCCACAGCTGTGGCTGCCTCATGGCTCAGGGCCATGGGGTCAGCACTCTCCTCACCTCCACCAGTCCAGGACCTCCAGCCTCTGGTCGCAGGCTGATTTTTTACCAATCATGGTCACTTCATTATGGTAGCAGGGAACCCAGCTAACAACGAGACTTAAACGCTGAGGCGAGTGCCTCCTGGCCAGCTCACAAGGCAGCAGAGGTCTTAGATCAGTCCAGTAGGCTTTTTTGAGGGAGCCCTTTCCTGCTCTGACTTCCTATTTTCTGTTTTTTGTAACGGAGTTTCACTCTTATTGCCCAGGCTAGAGTGCAGTGGCGCGATCTCGGCTCACTGCATCCCTGCCTCCCGGGTTCAAGTGATTCTGCTGCCTCAGCGTCCTGAGTAGCTGAGATTACAGGCACATGCCACCATGCCCGGCTAATTTTTGTACTTTTAGTAGAGACGGGGTTTCACCACGTTAGTCAGGCTGGTCTCAAACTCCTGACCTCAGGTGATCCACCCGCCTCGGCCTCCAAAGTGCTGGGATTACAGGTGTGAGCCAGCATGCCCGGGCCCAACTTCTGTTTTCATAGAAAAGCAGATTATAATTCTGGTAGCTCCTGTGGGGTTTTGGAAGTGGCCCAACAGGATTTGAACTGTGTAATGTAGTTTCACACAAATGTACGTAAAATGGGTTATGATTTTTTGGTTTTTAAAGAATTACTATCCAAGGGGTTACTTTTCCAAATAGTGCATGGTTTTAAGCACACGAGCATCAGTACATCTTGATTTGGGCACTTCAGGTCCCTTAGAATGAGGCTCTCCGTTTAGCCACCCTGCTCTGCCCAGGCCTGCTGGGATGCTCTTAGCCTGCACAGCAGCAGTATTTGCAGAATGCAGCTTGTTTTGTGAGATATTTTGCATGTTTGCAGCTAGATCTGTTTGACCAGAGATCTGCTGGCCTGCCTGGGTGTGTTAAGAGACAGCTGATACCCTCTGTCTTCTGTGTTCCAGCTTAATGGACCAGAAAAATAGGATGATGGCTGCCCCCACACAATAAATGGTGACATAGGAGACATCCACATCCCAATTCTGACAAGACCTCATGGCTAATTTTGGTGAAACCAGAATATGTGAACTGAGTGGACACCGGAGGCTGCCACTGGAATGTCTTCTCAGGCCGTGAGCTGTGCTGCGCTGACTGGTAGGGCTGTGTTTACGTTCAGGGCCACCCCGTCACATGTACAAAGGAGCTGCCTGCCTGCCTGTTTGCTGTGTTGAACTCTTCACTCTGCTGAAGCTCTTAGTGGAAAAAGCTTTCTTCTGTGACCCTCTTGAACTGAACGGACCGACTGGAATCGCAGACCGAGTTTGCTTTCTGTGCCCAGGTGAAGGGCAAGCTCAGCATCTGTTGGTTAGAAGATCCAGACTTGGGCCGAGCAGCCCCCAGCCCTCTTCATGTCCCAAAGTGTAGTCCTGAGGCCCTGGTGCTGCACTTCTAGCATGTTGGTCTCCTTTAGTAGGGCTATTTTTAATGAGAGAAAATCTGTTCTTTATTTCCAGCATGAAATACATTTCATCTCCTCAAAAGGACTGCAAGGTTGACATGAGTTGGAAAGGGAACCCTGGAATACATGGCATCCCCTCTATTGGAACAGTCTGAGGACTGAAGGCATTTGTCCCTGGATTTATTGGAGATGGCCCAGCTCCTCCCTCTGAAGGTGGTCACATTATGTTGACTTTCCATACTCAGCCTCTCCTCCAGAAACAGATTGGTTCCAGAACATTCCAGCACTTTCTATCTGGTCTCCTTGTCCCCACACTAGTCCCCCTCCCCCAGGGCTTCCTCCAGTGACAGTTAGAGCTAATCTCTGAGACAGGGAAGGCATTACTCACTTCAAACCCAGGCTGAGTCCTGGCCACCTGCTGGATTGTGACATATGAGGTGGAATCCACTGAGCTCCCACTTCTGCACAGGCTCCTTCTGGGGCAGCACCAAGGCCCAGCTCTGATGGCTCGCCCTGTCAGGCACCAGCTGCTTCCTCCTGGGCTCTTACCCACATGCACATCCTCCTTCCTAGCATCAGATTACCTGCGTATTTCCCCAGACAAAAGCACTTCCCATTCCTGAACCTTGCCTACCCTGGGCTGAGCTGATTTAATGACAGTGACTCCCAGGAAGGGGGTCCTGTGACTTTGCTCTGGTAAGAACAAAAGGTGGAACTGGTGACCTAGGAAAAGTGTTGAATTCTAAAAAGAATGAAATTAGTTTCTAACTCTAGTTAATGTTCCTTTTTTTATTTTATTTTTTTGAGAGTCTTGCTCTGTCGCTCAGGGTGGAGTGCAGTGTTGTGATCTCAGCTCACTGCAACTTCCGCCTCCCGGGTTTAAGCGATTCTCCTGCCTCAGCCTCCTGGGTAGCTGGGACTACAGATGTGTCCCACCACGCCTAGCACAGGGGCATATTTGTAATAGAGACGGGTTTTGCTGTGCTGGCCAGGCTGGTCTCGAACTCCTGGCTTCAAGTGATCCACCCGCCTCGGCCTCCCAAAGTGCTGGGATTACAGGCATGAGCCACTGTGCCTGGCCCCTTTATTTGATAATTTACACATATATTCACACATACGTTTTTGCCCAAAACTCTTTATTTCAAGATGACGTTTCTGTGGCTATGTGTGGTATGTGGTATAAATCTCAATCTATGGTCGCACGAGGGGCATTTTCCTTCTTGTAAGTGCAGTCTAAACCAGTAGGAAGGAGGTTTAATTGCCAAAACCAGTAAGAACTTGGGCACTGTGGGTACTACAGTGGGCAGGTGAACGAGGACCAAGGAGAATGTCTAAGAGGCCTCCAGCCCTGCGCTCGGTGAAGACAGGACAGAAACAACAAAGCATACATACCTTGGAAGTGTGTGTCCTGACATACTCGTATGGAAAGTTCTGACAGGTTCTTTCTCCCTGGGAAGTGCAGCACATGCCCCAACACACTGGCTCTGCCAGCGTGCCCATCCCAGATGTGCTTGCTTTGTGCACACCCACACCCAACCCCCTGCCCTCCCATATGCTCTTCTGTGTGTCCAGGTAGGCCCTGCCCTCAGGCAGCAGCTTCTGAACACATTCCTCTTGGCACAGACAAAAGAAAGTACTTTGTCTGTGGAATTCAAGGCTGAGCCCCGAGTTCTAGCACAAGAAGACCACTGCAGTCCAGAGATAAGAAACTGGACCAGAGGCAAATCATGAACAGAACCTTGGGAGTAAAGAGAAGGGGTTTCTAAGATGGAGAGAGGAGCGTGGAGCCAGTGGGATGTGGCTTCCCCAGGTTGCAACCCCAAGGAAGTCTCTGGAAGCAGCACCAGTTCTGATGGGAGAGCAGAAGAGCTGCCATCCTCAGTCAGGGTCCGAGTCAGGGTCTGAGGAGAGCTGCTGCTCCATAGTCTCGCACATGGCATCCTGCAGGGACGTGAGATGACCCCGGGGACTCATCCCCATTGGCTGGATGACTCTGTTCCTGTGGGGAAAGGTGCAATGGGGCTGGGGAAGGGGCCCAGTTGGCCAGGCAGGGGTCCTGCTCACCCCTGGCTGCTACCTTCCTCTTCACCAAGTAAGCTGCTCTCATTTACGGGGGAAGCCTGGTTGGACCTTCCGTTAATTGGGCCCAAATCCTAACTGCTACCTCATGGCTTTAAGCAGTTTCTTAATTTAGACATCTAAATTGGTCTTAAGCAGTCTGTTCATTTGGACACTGGGCCATCTCCAATAAGTGTAGCAACGTTAGACGGTCTCTTTTTTTTTTTTTGAGACGAAGTCTCACTCTGTCGCCAGGCTGGAGTGTAGTGGCACAATCTCAGCTCACTGCAATCTCTGCCTCTCAGGTTCAAGTGATTCCCCTGCCTTGACCTCCCAAGTAGCTGGGACTACAGGCACCCACCACCACGCCCAGCTAACTTTTTTTTGTATTTTAGCAGAGACAGGGTTTCACCATGTTGGCCAGGATGCTCTCGATCTCCTGACCTTGTGATCCACCTGCCTCAGCCTCCCAAAGTGCTGGGATTACAGGCGTGAGCTGCCATGCCCAGCCTTAGACAGTCTCTTAATTTCTCTGGGCCTCAGTTATCATCTGTAAAATGGGCACAATACTGATCTCAATATACCCATCCCCTGGGGGGATTTCCTCTAGGGCAAGTGATTTCAAACATCAGCAATGCAACCTAACACCAGGATCCTAAGCTCTCCTCTGATCCTACCTCCTGGGGCTCACAAGACAGGATGTGGGTCAGCTCTCCCTTCTCCCAGCTACAGGCCCCTCCTCATCATGCCACACACCTGGAGAGCTTGTCAAACATGGTCACCAGCTTCATGGCCTCGTGCTCCTTCTGCTCCTCCGTCATGCCCTCCATAGGGTTAGGCGGCTTCTCCTCCACCCTCCCGGTCACCGGGTTTATGCTGTTTCCCAGCAGGTGGAATGTGGGGAATGCATTAGTGACTCTCTAGGACAGGAGGCAAGCCACCTCTTTTCCCAGTGGGGTGAGGTGAGCAAGGCAACTGCAGGAAGAGGCCTCCCTCCAGAAGCGGCACTGGTAACCAGCAACTGCCACCTGCCATCTTCTGGTATCCCAGATGGCACTCAGGGACAGGTGCTTGATTCTGGAAGGTCTTGCCCACTGGTCATCCTGTCCCACCCTACAGTGGTCCACATGGATGTTGAAGCAGGGACTAGGGGCTGTGAGTGGAGACCCGAGGGGGTGTTGGGGGCACACACCTGGCCTTGGCTTCCTTGTACTCGTCTGTGTCTGTGTCCTCATCCTCCGAGTACTGGCCCTCAGGCCGGCCTCCCGCCATGAGGCCCCTGGCAGCCAGAAGGCCAGCAGCATTCCCATAGCCCGTGTACTTGATGAATCGGGGCACTGGGGGGCAAGGCAGAGGTCAGTGTGCAAGCCTGGCTGAGGTGGGGGCGCTGGGACCCGGATCTCCATAACTCACCACTCTCAGAGCACAGGACAAACAAGAACTCGGCGGCCACTCTCTTCACATCTGTGTCCAGGTGTGTCATGAGGCGGACAAGCTTGTTTCGCAGCATCTCCCCAACCTCAGGCCGTGTCCTCACATCCCGCAGAGGGGGCAGCACCTGGGGAGGTGGCCGTCCCTAAGCTTGGGCTTGGTCTGTGATCAGGGCCGAAACCACATCCCCCAGGAGTGCCAGCTCCTCAGTCTCATACCTGGGCCTTCAGGAACTTCCTGGCTGGGCGGTGCATCCGGGCACATTCGGTCAGCACGCTCAGCACGGGAGCTACGCTCTCCTTCAGCCTGTGTGTCTGTAGAGGAGCCTCTGTCACCGTGGCTGTGCTCCTGCCTAATTTGAGACTGGCGCAGAGTTACACCCCCCACCGCCCCTTCCCACCAACATACACAGCAGCTGGTCCTGGTGGCAGAGGTTTGGGAAGAGGCCCCTCTGCAGTTAGTCAGCGGAAGGCCAAGAATGGGTGGTGGGTGTCTGTGTCACTTTTGAAAAGGACGGACACAGAGCTTCACTCAGAGGTACTTGTTGTAAGCTTGGTGACTTGGGAGAAATAACTGCTTTAAGTCTAATTACCTCAACTCTAAACCAGGGCTGGGAAGAAAACACAAAGCAATTAAAGCTTTAGACTGGCACACACATTGCCCTCAGATGTTGGTGGCAAAAAGAAACGAGAACCGAATCCCCGCTCTGGGTACTTCATGGACAGAGAGCAGGGAGTTCCTTACCCTCCGAGCATAATGTGCCTGGACCCCAGCACCAGCAGTGGCAGCGACAGCGACAGGCACAGACAACCCCCAGGCTGTATGTCCAGTGCCAGCTCCCTACCCTGACTGGCTCACATGCACCATGTGTGTCCCCTGCTTAGGCAGGTAGATTCCCGAGAGGTCTCCTAAATCTCGGTTTATTGTGCTCCAGCCTGCTTTCTGCACGCTCCTGGAGGATGGTTAGAGCCCTAGCTGTCCAGATGCCCTGTAGTGCAGTCACAGGAATCAGAGGGAAGCTTTGATCTGAGGTTCCTATGGGTCTCCTCAGGATGTTGAGGGACAGCTATGCTTGTAATCAAGGGCTGCCTGTGTCTGAGAGTTAAAAGCAGGGACTCGGGGGCTTCTCAGGACCACTCAATAAAGATCCACAAAGATTTAAGAAGTGAAACCTTCAAGTGTGTGGAAGGTGTCCACATGCTTCTCATGAAGGAAGGGTCTAGCTTGTTGCCAGGCTGGACCACAGAACAGCCGGAAGAATCGCCTGTATCACACCACCAAGATGATTTCCACTTACCAATGTGGCCAGTGTAGAAGCACTGACCACAGCTGTGCAGGAGAACCAGTGCCAGAGCCACTGGGGGAGCCTGTACAGCCATCCCCAGCCTACCTGGTGCAAACGCTTCTCTAGGAAGATGAGGAGGGCACGAATCACATCCATATTCACTCCCATGAACTCCACGGAGTCTCCGTGTGGCTCCAGGGTGAGGAGAACATCCAGACACTTGAGAGGCAAGTTCCCCAGGAGGTTCACTGCGTGGCTGAGGACAGAGGGAGGTGGGGGTCTCAATAGGGCTAATCTCTCAGCACAGATGTAATCTTTGTGCCCCCAATGAACCACACATTACATGAGCTGGCATCTGAGGCCCAAAGGGGCGGCACTGGGGACCAAAGCCAAGGGCAGGGACTGATCTGAGAGGCACTGCCACTCAGCTGTACAGTGGGGTCCCCTGGGGAAGTGGGGGCTGAGACACCCTGCCTCCCCTACCCTGTCTGGGCCAAAGCGCCAGACCATCTCTGGAAACCACACCAGCCAAGGGGCAGGTGGACCAAGAATGGGGACAAGGAGCCAATGTGCCCTAGTAAATACCACACTGTTGCCACTACCCAAGGCCCAGGTGGCACATTCCTGCCCCCAAATTCATGGCTGTTGTCCTGGCCACATATTAGAAGCACCCAGTATTCTCTGGAAACACACCGATGTCCAGTCTCACTCACCCAGACAAAGTCAGACCCTCTAGGGTGGGGCCTGGGCTCTCAGGTGGTTCTGGTTCACGGCCAGGGTTGAGGACGACCATCTAGACATGTGGACACACTTCCCTCCCAGAAAAAGCCCCATCCTCACCCATGGAACTCCTCTGTGCGGTCTCCAGCAGTAGCAATCATCACACAGTGCCGGAGAAGGGTCCCCAGGTGTCGGTAAAGAGCAGCGTCTTCCTGACCAAAGAAAGAAGGGTTCCTGTGAGGAGCCCCGCTCATCCCACTGCTGCCTGCTGAGGCTCTACTGTCTGTTGCACTCCAGAACTGTGTGGCAATGACTGTGCACCTCCTGTACTGCACACTTGGTCCCCTGGGGTCTCCTAGGTGACTCTGGCTAGTGCTGGGGGCAAAAGATGACCACTGCTGTCTTCCTAAAAACTCTGTGAGTATTCTTCTAAGAGCACGTCCCTGATTAGGAATGTTAACACACACCCTTGGGATGAAGTCACACTCTGTCTCAGCCCCACTCACAGCCTCATGGTGGAGGATCTCTTACAGTCTCCCCGGAGAGCACACAGCCCCCTGCCAGGCAGCAAGAGCCAGAAGGGGCCTCTACTTCCCTCAGAATCCTCCCCTAAGGTCCCAGCCCAGAACTGGCATCTCCTTGGCCTTGTCCCAACACGCTGGGAGGTCCTGTCCTCTCCATGTCTGACACCCAGAAACCTGAAGGTACCCAGTGGGAAGCAGGTCCAGGAAATGTTGGAGCTGAGTTGAGACCCATCCATGGGTTGAGGTCAGCGCTCACCTCGTCCACCTCCCCCTTGATGGAGTCGAGGGTGATGTTGAAGAGCACTTTGAGGATCTCCATGGCCCGCTCAGTCTCTTGGGAAGGAAGGAGCTTGGGTGGGTTCCCTTCAGGAGTCACCCCCAGCGTCAGCTCCAGTGTGTCAGTCAGCAGATGCACTCCTTTCAGCTCCTGAAACAGCTGCTGGCGCACATCGGTGCGGAGTGCCGTTAGCAGGAAGAGGAGCCTCAAGTCAAAGAACTGGACATCGTGGGGGAAGCTCCTCTCACGGTACAGCCCCACACGCTCTGTGAGCTTCACCACTAGGCGGGCCTCTGCTGCCAGCATCTGTGCCACAGGGCTGCTGAGCACGAGGTTGCACAGGCACTTGAGGGACTCCAGTACAACATCCATGTCGGGGGAGTCTGGGACGGACCCCTCAGAGCCAGAGATGTCAGCATAGCAGGCCAGTGCCTGCAGGCTCTGGCGACTGGTGAACGGGTCCAAGCAGTTGCGGTCCCGGGACAGGATTCGGACACTCTGCAGCCAGGTGACACGGTGGGAGGGTGGCAAGCCCTGTTCCAGGACGGAGACCAGCAGCTCCGCCAGTCTCTGTGGGCAGGGAGAAGAGCGGCTCCACCAGGGCCCTCTTCCTGGGGCCACCCGTCCCTGTCCCTTTACCCCTCGGGCCAGCACCCACCTTCCGGTCCTCCTGTTGAGCATCATCAAACGTGAAGCTCTGGGAGTGCTGCAGAGAGAACGAGTGAATTCAAGTCCACAGAGGGGCAGTATCCGCGCCCGCTGATGGGGGGCGGCCTATTGGCCTCTAACTCAGGCAGCAGCCACTGCTCAGAAGGGGTGGCAGGGTCTACACTCGCCCCCATCGCTACACACCTGCCACCCAACGGGTGCACCCCAGACACTCTCCCCCCAACACTGCATCCCTGACGTGCCACCCCCACCCCGCCGCGTCCCCTCTGCTTGCTGACACAACCCCTGCCTCACCCACACCGTCCCGACCACCCGCGCACGACCCTGCCCCACCCCCTCCGTGCCCGCCCCCCGGCCTCAGGCGGCCGCTCACCTCCTGGTTGTACGACCGCAGAGCTTCCATAATCACATCCTCCTTCCCCGTCTCCACGGCTTCTGCAACCGCCCGGGGCTCCATGGCGCCCCCGGAACCCGGCGCGGGGAAGGCGGGACGGGCCCTTCCTCAACCTTTCCGGGCCGCAGTTCGCCGGCCCCGCCCTGGCCCAGAAAGCCCCGCGCCAGCGCGCGGGGGACGCCGGGACGGGACGCGGCGTCTGGTGGCGCTTCAAGGGGGCGCGGCCTGAGGCAGCACCGGCGGCTCGGAGGTTTTAAGACCCGAGTCGGGCCGAGTCGCCCTGAACCGAACTGACCCCCCTCCTTGTGACCGGGGCTTCTTGGGCCGGAATTTCCAACAGGAAAGGATCTCAGCCCCC